AGATGAATAAATTGTTTATTGAGACAAATTTATTATTGTAATTATTATTATTATTATTATTATTATTATTATTATTATTGGTGGATAATGGTGGTTGTAGTGGTGGTCGTGGCGCTGTTGAAAGAGCTTGACCACGTATTCAATATCGGATCTTGTGTTATTGCTAATAGCAAATGTTCAGTAGACAAAGAGCCAAAAAAAAGCAATTATTTATTGTTTTTGTTTTTGCTTTTTCACTCGTCTTCTCTCCCATTTCCCCATGGGTCTTTCCTACCGCCTATTTTTTCGTATTTTTGGTGTTTTGATTATCCTCAAACCGGTCAAGGATGTGCCTAGTAAGAACGACATCATCCTACATATTTTTATTAGTAGTAAACTGATTAAACATCCTCAATCCATAACAATTACACACAGTAAGTAGATAGTCTAAAAGTATAGTAGATAGTCTGAAAATGGATTGGCCTTCACTGGGTTGGGTTCTATAAGGCAATGGTTACCAACTAACAATATTACATTTTAAGAACGTTATAATAACGTCACAGTTTGGTGATAAAAACGTAGAACCATATGTACGTACTTATAATCTAATTGCACAACCTCACAACGTTCAACGTTGTTTGAACGTTATTTTTTGACATATCTAACCACAACGTTTGCGAACGTTATAATGACGTTTTGTGTTTGCTGGGTAGAACTCTCCACTTTACTATTACCAGTACCACATTGTCCTGGGTATGCGTTTGAGTAGCGTAAAATTTGTTCCAATGTTTCATTCCGGCCAGAGATGCCAAAGTCATACAAATTCGTAGATAATCTTTAATTACGGTGAGACTGAGTTGGTTTGGATCCTCAATTTTTAAAACTTCTCTATTTTAAATTCCTGGATCCGCCACTTATATTTATTCATTTTATTGTTAAAATATTCTTTGGGGTGACACAAATGCTTATTTTTTGTATATATATTTTATATTATTGTTGTGATCAATACTGTTTCTTTTACAAAGACTTATGGGTGGTTGCTGATGTCAAGTTGCCCGTTATGCGGAAACTCTTCATCTATGGGACATTGGAACTGCAAGATGACCGATCAAATACGATTAATGCCACGTACATATTTATACATGGTGGTTCACTCATCATTGGCTGGCCAGAAACACCGTTTGAACACCAGGTCAACATATTCCTGAATGGCAACCACTTCACAGAAGATATTCCTCTTCCAAATGGGCCTAATATGGGATCAAAAGTCTTAGGTTTGTTTGAAGTCAATTTTTGAATAGGCCTACTTGTAAGAAGCATTGTTAACCTCAGTGTGGTTATATTTCTTCTGATGAAATTATTTTTATTATTGCTTTTGCGTAGTCCTGTTCATAAAGGCCGAATTATCTATTCATACAACAAATAAATGCCAAAATTATAAAAAGAAAAAACTTAAATAGTAAATAGTTTTTCAGCGAAGATTTTAATTGGAAATTTGTTGCTGTTATTTCTGATAGGCTTTATTATTATTATTATTATTATTATTATTATTATTATTATTATTATTATTATTATTATTATTATTATTATTATTATTATTATTATTATTATTTACCAATAAATAGTTATTTAAACACTTCTTATAGGAGTGTTTGGTCGTCTTGAAATGCATGGTACCGCACCTAATGTTGCTTGGACTAAGCTAGCAACTACAGTTAATCCTGGAAGTGATGTGATAACGCTAACTGAAGATGTTGATTGGGGTGAAGGAAAAGAGATTGTCATAACAAGCACCTCATACGAGGCTTGGGAAACAGAAACGTTTACAATAGCTGAAGTTGTCAATGCTCGAACACTCAGACTCAATGATACATTAAATTACAAACATATAGGTCAGTTGCATAAATGTAGTACTAATATGATGATGGTGATGATGATTATGACGATAATGAAGATGAAGATGATGATCTTTGAGGATGATAACGAACAAGATGATAAAAGTGATGATGGTGATAGTTTGATGTTTGGTTATGGTGATGTTTAATGTGATTATGATGAATGATGTTAATATAATGATCATGATAATTTTTTATGTTTGGTGATGTTGATAATGATTATGAAGATGATGACGGATGATGATTATGGTGATGATGATTCGTTGACTACGGATTTTCGTTGACTATTATTTTCATTCGACTGGCTTGTAAAATAGACTTCGTTGACAACGAAAATTAACGTAACCAGAGTGCATTAATCTGCGTTAATTTATCCACGTGACCAAAACAAACATGGCCGATAGGTCAGTTTAAAAACAACACTTAATATAATTTAGATTAAATTTCAGAAAATAAAAAATATAATATTTACCTACATGAAGTCAAAAAATAATTGTAGCCTAACAAAATTCAAATACTGGATGAAAATACTTATTTTGCAAAAAAAAATCTATACTGCCACAAGCCGAAGCAATCTTGATTATGCAGCGTATATCGCGGTAATTATGCAGCCATTTTGTTTTGTCGAGTATTTACAAGTTTTCTATTCGACTGTTCGTCTTTATTGAGTAATGCAGGTGGGCGTGGTTTTACGAAGAATGACCAGTCGAATACGACCAATGGTGGACTATGATGATCATGATGAAGTGATGATTTGATGTTTTCATAATGATGATGGATGTCGATGTAAATTATCATGGTATGAATGATGGTGATAGTTATATAGTGATGACGATAATGGTGATAATGATAATTGACAATGTGGATGGTGATTGCAACTTATTTTATTTTATTCAACTTTAACTGCATGAATCATAAAAAAACCACCAGAAAGGCAAGCACAAAGCAGGTGAACAAGCATCCCTACAGAGAGCCGTCTTACCACCGGAGATAGATCAATTAAAACTATAAAAATAAATATAATTTGCATAGGAATATAGATTTGTCCAATTTGCAAATAACAATTAAACATTTTAATAGAAAATGTTCATTATTTAAAAACAGTCAGGACAGTGACAAAAAGGAAACCCATGTACGAACAGGTATCATCAAAAGGAAAATCAGATTTCAATTTAGTATTATCCAAGCACTTTAAAAGATGAAAAAGAAGAATCAGATCAAATTGCTAAAGGAAGGTTATTCTAGATAGGTTCGTTGAAAATAAAAAAAAATTATGGGATTTGATTTTGCATCAAGGAACAGGTAACATGAATGAATCAGAATAAAGTCTGGTGGTATGACGGCCCTGTAAAAAATGATATGCACATAGTCATCAATAGAAATATCATAAATTTAAAAAAAAACTTTTATAAAAAATAAGGAAATCATACGGTAACGTATGTAGTATTGTACAAGTACAATTGTAGAATTAGTATTAAAGAAAGAGAAGTACATGTTTTTATTGTAACACATATCGTTTATTCCCAGCTGAAACACATACGCTTAGTGATGGCTCCCTAACATACACAGAAGCGGCTGAAGTTGGCCTTCTCTCAAGAAACATCAGGATAATTGGTGCCGACTATAACAACCTTTTTGAAGAGTCATTTGGAGCTAGGGTTCTGGTTGGAAAATTTGTTCAGGAAGGTCTTGAATACAAAGGTAGGCCTAGGCTTAGTTCTTCTACACAAACAAAATTTTAGTTGTTTATGCATTTGAATGGTACTATAGTAATTAGGTACTATAGTAATTAGCCACTATAATCAATACTGATCTTCCAATTATATCCGTCTGTAAAAATAAACATCCTTAGCCTTATCCCTTAATTGGCCAAATCACTTTCTGTTAAACCCTTTTATTTAAATGAAAATTAACATATCTGTCTATATACTTAGAGTAATCAATTTGAAAAGGAGGTAGTCTTAAGCCTAACAATGTTGTGATAGCAAATGCATTTATAATGATGTATTATCTTAATTGATTGCTTATTTCAAACAAAGTATTAGAATTTTATACACTTATTGTATTCAATATTTCCATTCATAGGATATGCACAAATTTCGAATGTGGAGTTCTATCATTCTGGACAGGAGGGTTGGACTGACTTCTACGATCCACGATACTCAGTTGCATTCTTAGATACCGGTGAGGTGACTGTGGCCAACCCGTCTTACGTGCGTAGTTGTACTTTCCATAATGGTTTCAGTCCTGCTATTGGAGTCTTCGGAGCTTCTGGTGTCCTCATTGAAGACAATGTCATTCATCACACAGTTGGAGCAGGTGAGATTGATATGTATTTTGAATGTATTTATACAACATAATATATATATATATATATATATATATA